CAAGGGCCAAAACAATACTGAGTGAAAAGAAAAAAGCTGCACCCAGGCATTCAATCTTGAGTAAAAGGAAAAAAGACCTGGACCCAGGCATTCAATTTTTCACTGTGAACATACCAGTATCATGGCCCTCCCCACAGACACTCACCAATCAACATACAGCCCAAGGAACAAAGCCAGGGAGAGAAACTGCCCCAACCTTCCTGCAGCCAGCAAGAGCCATCACATGACGAGGTGATCATCAGAGCAGGAACGATGCTAATAATGTCACCACCTTCCTTTTATCTGAAAAAAAGTTTCTGTGAGTTGTTCTCAATTAAGAAACTGATTAAACAATTACTGTCAAAAAGATTCACAACAGTTAGGAAAAGACTTCCTCTTTGACAATTTCCCAGTATGATAGGAAACAATGAAAACAAAAACAAGGAAAAGTCCTGTCTATAGGTCCAATCTTTGGAGGCCCAGTGTATAAAAGGACCACACACTGCAAGGACTCATCAGAGTCTGGAAAACTCACCTCTCCGCAGAAGCCCACCACCACTCCTCACACCATGACTAACTCCTGCTGCTCTTGCTGCCAGCCCACCTGCTGCAGAACCACCTGCTGCAGGACCACCTGCTGCCGCCCCAGCTGTGGCTGCAGCCCTTGCTGTGTGTCCAGCTGCTGCCGCCCTTGCTGTGGTGGATCTAGCTGCTGCCAGCCCAGCTGCTGTGGGTCCAGCTGCTGTGGCCAAAGCTGCGGTGGGTCCGGCTGCAGTGGCTCACCCTGTTGCCAGCCAGTTTGCTGTACACCCGTGTACTGCACGAGAACCTGCTACCAACCCACGTGCTGCTGCCTGCCCGGTTGCCTAGCCCAGGGCTGCAGGTCCTGCTGTGGATCCAGCTGCTGACAGCCTTGCACTTGTTGACCTTCTCCCCATAGGACCATCATCTCCACAAGCCAACCTTCCTTCAATTAACTTGCCCTGCCTGGACAAACTCCCTTCCTACCTGTGCTGAAAACCATCACACTATCACCAGAAACTCTGAGATTCACCTCCTTTATTAAAAGCTTGTGAGTCAGCATGAGGGAGTGCAGAGTACTTCCCTTTTGTTCTCTGATTCCTTATGTCTTCTGGGTCGTGTGCCACCTTTGTACACCATTGACATGGAGTTATCGTCTCAGCTTTGATTCTGAAGCCAAAACCTTCACCTCTCCCTCTCAATAACTTCAGAAAACATCTCCTTGAAATTTTCATAGGTTTCTGCAACTGATCATTAATGTTTATAAGTATGTTTTCCTTTTCAATATTCTCAGGATTCTTGTATCCCCCTTTCTCCTTTTATGCTAACTTTGAGTTGTATTCCTAGAAGCAGTCTTAATAAATTTTTAATAAATTCTGTATCATCATTCATTTTGTACTGTCTCTTTATTTTACTTTAGTAAGAACCCTTGACATGAGATATATCCACCTAATAGATTTCTAATTGTACAATACATTATCATTTCATCATATACATTAGACACACTGTGGGACAGCAGATCTCTAGAACTTATTCATCTTGTCTAACTGAAATATAACACTCAGCAAAAAGCAACTCCCCATTACCTCCTACCTCCAGAGTCTGAAAAACACCATTCTATTCTTAGCTTATATGAGTTTGACTATTTTAGACACCTCATGTAAGTGAAATCATATAACAGTTTCCTTCTGTTACTGGCTTATTTCACTTAGTGTAATGTCCTCAAGGTTTATCCATGTTTTTGTAAATGGTCCAGTTTCCTTCTTTTTAAGGCTAAATAATATTCTACAGTTTATAGGTACCACAGTTTGGGCCAAGCCCGTGGCGCACTCGGGAGAGTGTGGCGCTGGGAGCGCAGCAGCGCTCCTGCCGCGGGTTCGGATCCTATATAGGGATCACCAGTGCGCTCACAGCGCTCACTGGCTGAGCGCGTGCGGCTGGTCTCAAAAAGGACAAAAAATAAAAATAAAAATATAGGTACCACAGTTTCTTTATACATTCATTCAGCGAAGAAAATTTGGGTTGTGCCCACAACTTGGTTCTTTTGATAGTGCTCCTCCGAACATTTGAGTGCTAATATCTCTCCAAGATCCTCATTTCACTTGTTTGTGAACATACCCAGAAGTGGGATGGCTGCATCATGTGGTGATTTTCTTTTTAACTTTTTGAGGAACTTCCATACTGTTTCCATGGCAGCTGCACCATTTTGCACTCCCACCCGTGAACAAGGGTTCCAGTGTCCCCACATATTTGCCAGCACCTTTAGTGTGTTGTTTTCTTCATAACGGCCAGACCCAATATTCCAGTGTTTCACTTACTCTAATATTGAAATAATGTTCCAATATTGAGTGAAATCCCACGCATTCACGTCAAAATACATGACCTTCTTGAGAAACAGGAAGACTCAGGGAACAGCATCCTTCCCCTGTGCAGAGTGCATGACTAGGCACTGCCAACATTTACATCATGCCTTTCCTGACTCCAAACTTGCGTGGTTGACCACTGCCTTCTAACAAGTACATATTCATTTTCACGACACTCTCAACCAGCCTAGTCAATCCTGCTAATCCTGAAGCCATTCTTTCTCTGTTAGGTGCCTTCACATAAATGGGCTCTGTTCCTACTCATCACTTTTGAGTTCCACTTTCCAATGGCATCTTCCTCTCTTGTCCTGTTCCATGATCTCTGAGTGTAGCTCCCAAATTGTGATATTTTGCATAGGTTAGTGTGAACATTCATTTGTTTTACTTTTTTGTCATGACATTTAAGAGCCAGTTATGATGTTACATGTCATAAAAGTCTAATTATATATTTATGTAGCTCAGAGTTCTTCTTCACACGCAGGACTTGGAGAGGTTCTGTCTTCGTAATGTAGCATGGGTTCTCCTGCTTTATTTGTTGATCGCCTGATTATCTGGCATTGCTAGATTTTTATTTGAGATCACGTCTCTGCCCAGTTGTCCCAAATGACTTGGGCTGATGGCTACATATTCTGCTGTAAGTTCATCTTATAATTTGAGTTGAGGTGTAAACACTATTTTTCATGTACATCCTCTGAATTAATGCAATATAATTATAGAAATGACCAAATATTACTCTCAGAAAATTTATTGTCTTTGTTCAAAGTAGATAACAAAGCTCAGAAATTTGGCTGTAAGTTTCTTCTTGGAATCTCCCCCATATTGTGTGCATCAGAAAGCGGCCCATAGCATATTCTCATGTACCTATTGAAAAGAAAACAGTTGCTCCTCAAGCCCACGCTCTGCAATAGCACTGCTAGTGTATTTCATGGAGCATAAAAGTGCCTTCAGAAATACCAATACAGGGAGTCACAGCAAGGTTGAATTGGGTCATGGGAAGATGAGAATATTGCTATATTCAGAACTTATTTACTTACAGAAGGTGGAGGACATAGAATAAGAACAAAGAGGTGAGATTATAAAATGCAATGACAGCACATATCCTAAACAAAATATAACCAAATTAAATCTAGTGCCAGAAACAGAGGGGAGGCAGAACAAGATAGCTGACTAGAAGGATCCACCACTTGTTTCTCAAAGGCAAGTGGCCACAACATAAAAAGTAATTCAATGAAGAAATAAGAAAAAGAGACACATCAGCAGAATAAACTTAAGAAATCATCAGCACCTCACAAAAGAGAAATCCAAATGTCCAATGGGCAAGGAAAAGTTACTCAAACACGTCAGTCATATGGGAAATTCAAAATATAATCATTTTTTAAATCTAATTTATTTATTTGATGACTCTCAAAATATGTTTTATATAACTTTCATCTATACAATTCCTATTTTTATTGATAAATAGAAACAAAACTTTTAATAAAGAAAACACTAAGCATCTTACTATACGTATTTTAATTTCTAAATCTCTTGTCCATTTTTGAGACATATTTTCAAGATAATTTTTAAAAATAAATTAATATAGAACCACTGTTAAAGAATTGTGATAAAGGAATTGAAAATTTCCCAGATTGGAATAAGAATCTAATATAGAAGACAGAATCTCAATATTGATTTATTTTAAAGTTCTTTTATTTCCTTTTATGTCTTTATTTACCACTTCTATTTTTATTGAGTAAATTACTACTTAATGCTCTGTTAATTTTTTATTGAGATGTTTTCATTTCCTTGTTTGATCAGCTTGGTTGATGGACATATTGACATATAACTAAATATATACACCTCCAGAATGGCTCACATTCAAACGTGAAAATTCCATGTGTTGAGGACACAAAAAGCAAAGACAAATAATACAATGTAGGAATTATTGCAACTTTTTCTGAAAACCGTTTGGAACTCTCCTCTAATGTGTACTCTAAGGAGAATTTATAATACAGAAATTTCGCTCCAAGAAAATACTCCACAGAAATGCATGCACCAGGAGACCAAGGTGTAGACAAATAATATTCCTAGGAGTATTGTTCCCAGAAGCCCCTAATGAGGGACAAATACCCATCAAGAATAGCAGGCATCAATACATCGTGGTCCCTTCCTACAAAGAGCCGAGATCACTGGAAATGAACAAATGCTACTACAGGCACAAAAGCCAATAAATCTCACAAACATAATTTGGAGCAAAAGAAGTCAAGCAAAAAAATATACATACTAATATAATTTTATTGGTATAAAGTCCAAAACTTGACACAACTATATTATAATACCTAGTACCCTTAAGAAGGAAGGAAAGGATAGCATTCAGTAGAAGCATGAGGGCAGCGACTTGATTACACCCTGAGCTCTGTCTCCCAACATGAACGATGAATGCTCTCTTCCCTTTATCATAATCGGTCAAGCTACACATTAATGACATATGCGGTTCTTACATCATAGATTTTATGTCAATTTATTTTTAAGTGAAGGTACCTGAGGTGTCATCACATGTCGTATATTTCCCTCCATTTATGCACACAAATAATTTGGAGGTGGAATTTCCCACTTGAGATTACTGGTCCTGCTGGTCAGCAGGTTTAGAACATAAAAGGACTGAACATTTCTGAATCCCAGTGTCTTGCCTCTGCCTCTATCCTCCTGATTTGGTGATGATTTATCTATGAAGAAAATGATGTCCACCACCCTCAACCAGGCACTCTTTGATCAAACCAGGATAACCTGTGCCATGGTTGCTGCAGGTAGACATGCCTATTGTACTCCTCAATAGTCAGGTTATTCTCAATGGACAAGTTTGGACCCAGACATGGATTCAGTTCCTCACTGTGAGTGTATCAGCATCATGCCCCTCCCCAGGGCCACTTCCCACTCTTCCTACAGACAAAGGAACAAGCTGGCAAAGACGACTTCTCTGACACTCCCCGGGCCACAGGAACTATCACCTGACCAGAGGATGTTCACAGCAAACATAGGCTGCAATGATTTCTAGAAATGTTCCCAAGGAATTATGCACAATTAACTACTTAGAGTATAATTTTCTAAGGATTTCTCAATCTTAGGAAAAATCTTTTTCCTTGGGCCATTTCCCTAGGGACTGTGGAAAACAAACCACAACAAAGAAAAGTTCTGCTTATTGGCTCTACACAGGAGAACCAGTCTATAAAAGCCCCAGAATTAAGGGACTTAGAATCTGGGAAACTCACCTCTGAACAGAAGCCACACCACCACACCTGACACAATGACCTGCTGCTGCTGCTCCCCTAGCTGCCAGCCCACCTTCTGTGGATCCTGCTGCTGCCAGCCTTGCCATTGCCCCACACTTTACTGGCAGCCAACCTTCTGTGGGTCCTCCTGCTGCCTGCCTTGCTGCTGCCAAACTTGCTATTACTATAGCTGCTGCAAGACCACCTGCTGCAATACCACCTGCTGTTGCTGGAGTCC